TCGTAAAGGTTGGTACCGACAACGTTAAAACCATGCGTCTCAGACTTGTCCTTCGTGGATTTATGGGCACCGAGGCGTTTGATGTGGAATCCTTCTCAGGAACTGCTCGAAGGCAGTCCCGGAGGCTCCTGGCAAGTGAGGCGGCATGTCATCCAGAGTGGATCTTAGCATCCATGGATATCGACAAAGCGTTCCTCGAGGGTTTGACCTATGAGGAACTTGCTCATGCCACCGGCGAGGAAACTCGCATGGTCTGCTTCACTCTTCCACCAGGAAGCGCCCAGGTACTCCGTACACTGCCCGGCTTTCCGCCCCACGATGAAAGCCGACGCTGCCTCAGGTGCCTCAAGCCAGGGACGGGTACAAAGGACGCCCCAAGAGCGTTCTCCTTCAAGCTTCGTACGACCACACGAGCTATAGGCCTTGCACCGACAAGTTCTGATCCTGAATTCGAATTCAGTCAAGTTCTGTTGACAGCAAAGCGTATTGACGACATCAATACGACAGGCCTAGAGAGAAATATAGACGACTATGTACAACGTGTCGAAAAGGTGTTTGGTAAATGCAAGCTTAACAAACATTCCTATACGAACTGCGCCGTTCGCTATGCCAAGAATGACCAAGGGGATGTGATCATGGATCAGGACGAGCACATTAAACAGCTACGTCCTATCACACACTCCGAACTCACAGGAGCGGCGGCCGATGCCAAAACCACCAAACTCATCACCGACATGTTTGTCCGTCTGCGAGGAGCCCATCGCCTATGCCCTTTTTACTCAAGTCTGGCTTGCGGTGCATGTGGTCTCTCTTCAGAAAATCCAAGAGCCCACCAACCTGCAAGTCAGGCGACTGAATGCTGCGACGCGAAAGCTGATCAGCAGCCCGAAACGCATCACCTTCCCTCGGATAAATCCGACGAACGAAGTTGACACACATAGTGGATCGGGGTATCGGAAGCTCACCGGGGAGGAGAACGACGAGACCAAAAGCTACGGCATACGCGGGGCCAACGTACTACGGCGAGGAAACTCGCCTCAAGGCAAGCCCGTCGTTCACCTCTGTGACGGACTTTGTAAATCACATCGACTGCAAGTGAGGTCCAGCTATGCCGCTGAGGCACTTGCAGCCGCACACAACCTTGATGAGCGCCACCCTACGCTCATCGCTCTCCACGAGCTCCAGGCAGGGGCTCTGATTCCACGACAGCTACGAGATTTGCGTGAAGTTGGAGGTCTAGCTATTAAAGTATCCCTGACCATAAGCGCCGAGTCTGTATACACATCGTTATCCAGCAAAGATCTTAAGATACCGACGGAACGGACTTTGCTGGGACATATCAGCTGGATACGTGAGCTCATGGATGTAGGTATAGTGCATAATGCGCAGTGGTGTGATAGTAGAGATATGACCGCAGATGGGCACACAAAGGGAAGTATCGATCGGGAGCTGTTTTTGGAAGTGATGTCAGGCAATCAGTTATTTAAGTATGACGTGAAGCATTTGTTCCTTTTCGGGGTCCCGAGGACAGAAACAAACCTAAGTCTAATCTATTTTAGTCTGTCCTTGTTGCCCCCGCGGTCCAGTTTGCCAGCGTGGGCGCCTAATACAGAGGCGCCCTTCTAGGTGCTCGGAAACGAGCCTACCATTTCACGCTTGGTAACGAGCCTGTTCGGTTTGGTTCAGGCTCTTTGCTTTAATATCCGCTTGCTCGGAGAGGGATAGCCCGTTTGGCTTACCTCTGGCCGGGCCGATAGCCCTTTGACGTCCAAGGGGCTATCTCGCATTTGCGTGAAATGCCTTGCGAGGAAACTCGCCTTACAGTCTGGTGTTAGGCCAGACTGTACGCATTGTTTTTCTTGCATCCAGTCGTGCGCGCGGCCTTTGTAGAGCCTAGCGGCTGCGCGGCTATACTCTGCGTCCCCTCCCCTCCCGACTTTGAGGGTCGCTCTTTGGGAGATGCTATATAGAATCGGGAGTGTAGCTCGCGCGCCGTTGCCTTTGGCTCAAGGCACGCGCGCCCTATTTGCCCGGACACTGCTTGTGTTCGCTATGTGCTGGAAAGATCATTACATCGATTTTATCTTATCCTATCCGTCCATTCCCCATAGTGAACCACCCCAGCATGGCATTGGACGCTATCTGCCATTCGATCCCCATGGAAACGGATGCTATTTGACTTACCATAGTCACTTCAGACTCCCAGGTCTTGACGATGTCTCGAGTCAGACGCTTGGTTTCACGCCTCCAGGTTGCCCAGGCAGAGGTCTAGCGCCAGGATTTGTTGAGGATGTCTCGAGCGAAACGCTTGTTGTCACGCGTCCTCGTCGCCCAGGCGGATGTTTAGCTTGAAGATGTGTTGAGGAAGTCTCGATCGACATGCTTGTTTTCACGTGTCCAGGTCGCCCAGGCGGATGCCTAGCATGAGGATGTGTTGAGAATGTCTCGATATATTTATTGTTTTCACGTGTCCAGGTCGCGCGCCAGGATTTGTCGAGGATGTCTCGAGCGAGACGTTTGGTTTCGCGCGTCCTCGTCGCCCAGGCGGATGTTTAGCACGAGGATGTGTTGAGGAAGTCTCGATCGAGATGCTTGTTTGCACGTGTCCAGGTTGCCCAGGCGGATGCCTAGCATGAGGATATGCTGAGCATGTCTCGAGAGATACGCTTGTTTTCACGTGTCCAGGTCGCCCAGGCGGATGTCTAGCATGAGGATATGTTGAGGATGGCTGGAGCGAGACGTGTGCGTTCACGTGTACAGGTCGCCCAGGCGGATGCCTAGAATGAGGAGGTGTTGAAAATGTCTCGAGCGAGACGCGTGTTTCCATGTGCCCAGGTCACCCAGGCGGACGTCTCACATGCAGATGTGTTGAGGATTTTTCGAGCGAGCCACTTGTTTTCACGTGTCCAGTTCGCCCAAGTGGATGTCTAGCATTATCATATGCTGAGGATGTGTTGAGCGAAACGCTTGTTTGCACGTGTCCAGGTCGCTCAGGCAGATGTCTAGCATGAGGATGTTGACAGCATGTCTCGAGTGACACGCTTGTCCCCAGCACGTTCCATAGCGCGTCCCTTTGGCACGTCCCGCGGTGCGTCCCCATGGCACATCCCTTGGCACGTCGCTTGGCGCGTCCCTTGAGACGTTCCGCGGCGCGTCCTCCTGGCATGTCTTAAGATCCAGATCAGTTCGGTCAGGACTTGGATGCAAAGGAGGACTCGATCCACACCGCTGTATAGCGCAATCGCGGCACGGCACATCGCAATTCAGCACGGCGCAGCACAGCACAGACTTCGGCACGGAACGTGCCAGGTTGCAATGCTGAGTGTATCGATTCGATACACTCAGCATTGCAACCTGGCACGTTCCTTGGCACTGTTCCGTGGGGCGTTCCTTGGCACTGTCCCGTGGCCTATCCATTGGCACGTTCCGTAGCTCGTCCCCTTGGCACGTCCCGCGGTGGGACCCCATGGCACGTCCCTTGGCACGTCGCCTGGCGCGTCCCTTGGAACGTTTCGAGGCGCGTCCTCCTGGCATGTCCCCCTGTCAATTAGCTCTGGGGCAGCTGCTATGTGTTCAGGCAGCTCGAGCTTAAGATCCAGATCAGTTCGGTCAGGACTCGGATGCAAAGGAGGACTCGATCCACAACGCTATAGAGCACAATCGCGGCATGGCGTATCGCAATTCAGCAAGGTGCAGCACAGCACAGCCCTCGGCACGGTACATCAAGATCGATACCTTCAGCATTGCATTTGCCCGTCACCCAATCAGCTGTCTTTGAAAACGTTGCCATGCGTTACATCTCTATATTCCTTTCCGGGTTCGTGGGTCGATCATGTTGATCGCTTCGCTCATTCCGCCGGCCCGTATTATGCCATCATGTGCGGTTGGATAATTGGGTCCTTCGAACAACAACGGTAAATCAAGGATGATTGTTGCCTGGGGCCCATTCCGTCTTCATACCCAGGCCGTGGACATCTACAAATATGTCATGTAGTATTGATGGTCTGAACACACACACACACACTTTTTTGTGGAGGTGTTTCAGTTCGTTCGTTGGGCGTCGGGCGATTCCATCACCGTACCTAGGCCGTGGACATGAGGTCTCCTGGAGAAGTCTGTGGGTCTCTTCAGCGAGGATGCTGTATGTTGGCGTGCTCGTGGAGAGCGAGAAGGAGGAGGAGGAGGAGGAGGAGGAGCAAGAGGGCAGAATGAAGATGTGGAGGAGGCCTCTCGATGGCTTCTTGGGGCCTTCTGGGGGCAAGCGTAGTTGTGGATCAAACGCCTCCCCGGAGGCGCTTTGGGGTCACCTGGGAGGCGGCCCTGGGGCGCTCTTTGGGGCCTCTTGGGGGCATACTGGGGGCATCGTTTGTGCATCTTGGTGGCCTCTTGGGGGCCTCTTGGAAGTCTCTTGGGGCCTCTTGGGGTTCCTTTGTGGCGTCTTGCATGGGAGCCCCTGGGGCCTTTTGGGGGGCTCTTGGGGGCCTCTTGGGGCAGGAGGGGGGGTAGTCGATTGCGCCCCCGCCCTCCTCGGAGGCCACGATCCTCGTTAGGGGTGTCGAAAAATGGCCCGGTCAGGCATCTCTGGCCCGACCTTGCCGGGACCCTCCCGGGGACCTCCAGGGGCCGGCCCGCGCGCGCGAATTAGAATATCGTTAACCAGTTACCGGAGATCTTAGCACGCCTCTGGCCCGTTGGGCCGGCGAATTGTGATAGCAAATCATGGTAGCCTTGTTTACCCTCGCAGTTATGTCAATAGAGTGCATTTGCGTCGATTGGCGTCTGGTAGCTAGTGAGATGGGGCATATTTAGCGTCGATGAAAGTCGAGCAGAGTCGATTTAGCGTCGACTTGTGGTCGATTAGCTTCGATGAGCGTCGATTCGCAGGAGCCGACAAGGTGGTATGAGGGGCTCCCATGAGTTGCCGCAGAAGATGACCCTCCTCGTACTTATCCTCCTCATCCCGATCCTCATCCTCTCTCCTTGCCGTCGACGTTGCCGAGGCCAAACGCTGCGGCTTCGCGGACCGCCAGATCGCGCCCTTGCTGCGCTTCCAAGACGGCGCAGGTGCGCACGGCAAGTGGGACTACAGCGGTGGCCGCCCTCCCCGACCAGAGGAGAGGGGGCAAGAGGAGGAAGAGGAGGAGGAGGAGGAGGAGGAGGACGACGACCTCGGTGGCGAAGAGGTGAAGGAGGGGGTAAGAAGGTGTCGTGGAATCACGGGGTGAGGAAGTGGAGGATGGCGGGGGGACGGAGGACAGGGGTGGGGGGGTAGTTGGACGAAGAGGAGGAGGAGGAGGAGGAGGAGGAGAAGGAGGAGGAGGAGCAGGAGGAGGAGGAGGAGGAGCATGAGGAGGAGGAGGAGAAGGAGGAGGAGGGAGGAGCAGGGGAATGGGGGAAGACGCTTGGGTGATGATGAACTCAGGAAGGAGGATGGGGGTGGTGGAGGAGGGAGGATGATGCTGAGCAGTGGTGGCGCAGTATGCCGTGAGGTCCTTTTCTATCTTCGACCGCTCCTCGCTCCCTTTGCCGCCCTCCCAACCTCCCACTCTTGAACCTACGGATACATCACGACATTTCTATACGTCAGTGCGCGATGCGAGTCGTTGGGTATACCTCTACGACCACCCTTCGGATGACGAGGAGTTTGTGTGTGGGGGGGGGAGAGGCTATCGATATCACTCAACACCACGGGACACTTGTCGATCTCACGATCGATCTCACTATCAATCCTCACTCAGCGGGACACCAACCACGTGCACCACGGGACAACCACGGGACACCGCGGGACACCTCTCGATCTCACTATCGGTCTTACTATCGATCTCACTATCGATCCCACTCAACGGGACACCATAGGATACCACGGGACAGCACGGGACACCTCGGGACACCACACCGATCTCACTACCGATCTCATTATCGATATCACTCAACAGGACAACACGGGACACCACACCACGGGACACTTGTCGATCTCATTATCGATCTCACTATCGATTTCACTCAACGGGACACCACGGGACACCACGGGACACCTGTCGATCTCACTATCTCTCTCTCTGTCTCTCATTTTTTGGGCAGAAGACTACGCAGTTTTGTTCGTTATCACAACAACGCGTACCCAGCAGCGTTTCTCCGTCCCCCCCCGCCGCGGGCACCGCGAATCGCCGCGCGGTCCGCGGGGGGGGCTGGCGGGTGGGGCGGTTGGGTAAGAGGTTGGAAGAGGGGGGCGCGCTCAGGTCCTCGTGTACTTCGTGTTTTGTGTCTTGGTCCCCTTCGTGGCTTTCTCCCCGCGGTGGGGGGGGTAAACATACCCCCGCGCACGGCGCGCGGCGCAGGGGCGCGCAACGGCCAATCGCGAGGCCTGCGCGCTCCGCGCGCGCGCGTCGGCTTGCCGCGGTAGCGGCGTTTTCTTTTCCCCTCACCCTTCGCCGCTCCTGTGGTGGGGGCGGGTTGCGGGGTGTCGCTGCACTCGCGTGCTCCCGCGGGGCGCGGCGACGCGAGCAAGGTGTCGCGCGCCCGCCCCGCAGCGCGGGCCTACCCAATGGGCAGCGCTCCCCGCGCCTTCCCCAACCCCCGCAAAGCTGTCTAGGGTAGCGTCTTTTGTGGGGACACCACGGGACGCCTCCGGGCACCGCGCCGATCTCAGCGTTGATCCCACTATCGATCTCACTCAACGTGACACCACGGGGGAACACGGGACGCCTGTCGATCTCATTATCGATCCCAATATCGATTTCTTTTCTTGGGACACCACGGGACGTTGCGGGACACCTCGAGGCACCACGTGGATCTCAGCATCGATCTCTTTATCGATCTCACAATCCATCTCACTCGGGGCACCGCGGGGCACCGCGAGCTCACCGCCAGACGGACGGACGGGCGGGCGAGGGATAATTATCTGTCTTGGCTTCGCCTTAGCAGCGGCGGACGCCACGGGGCGCCGCGGGACACCGCGGGACACCACGAGTTGTGTGTCTATGTGTCTGTCAGTCTGTGTGTCTGTGTGTCTGTGTTTGTGTCGCACGCGCGCGGGTATCGGACCGACGATACGATCTCCCGGTGCGATCTCACCCCCCAACCTCCGATGCCTCCATGTTCGCCCCGGGCAGGGGCCGAGTGCTCCACCAGTCGTTCACCATTTGTTCATCTTACGCACGCATCTGTTCATCTCTTTTCCATGGCTTTGCCTGTTGCACGTGGCACGACTGCGTCGATCCTTCGCCCAGTGTTTGCCGAGCTGCCATGCCACCGGGTGCGCCTGCGAGTGGTGATATGCTGGTTCCGTGCCCTCCCCTTCCCCCTTTTTCCCTTTTGAAAGCGGCGCTGAAAGAATACAGAAGGCCGAAGAGAAGGATGAGGACGAGTGGAGGATTGTACCGTCCCGGCGCGTTGGTGGCTTGGGCGCGGTCGTTCACCATTGAAGCCCCTTCCCGCTCCTGGCCCCCAGCCCACCTGGACGGCGGAAGTCGTTCACGGTTGAGTGGCCGTGCGGTGACACAAACCAGAACCCACGTTTACATGAGAGGGATTTGTTGTTGTGTTCGTCGTTATCTTTCTTCCTCTTTTCCTCCAGCAGGAGGGCACGCGGCACCCTTGATTATAATCCAAATACCAGGATAAAGCAGCACTGGTGGCTGCGACACGCTGGACAGCACAACGATGGATGCTTGATGACCTTTGCGGCAACCACCCAGCGACACGAACAACATTCGAGGTTCTACGCAACCGCTTCGGCATCAAACTTATGACGCCACTGATGCTACATTGCTTACGACAGCATTGGGCGAGGAATGGTTGGCTTTCGGGGAGCTCGTTCTATGCCGCGCCGCGGTGTCACTGCTCACCTCGCTGCTGCAGTCCCGATCGGAGCCTCCTACAGAACTGCCGCCGCTGTGGTTCCATGCCTGGCCTGGCGGTGCTGGGCGAGTTTTCGGATATGGCCTGGTCGACGCAGCTCGGGCACATCGTGCTCGAACTTGGCCGGTCTCCCTTCCCGAGCATACCACCCAGGATCGCAACAATGAACGAAGTGTTGTCCCTTCGCGTCGCGTCACTTTTATCATTGTTGGATGTTTGCTCCTTGCTGACATTGCTGACACTACGAGAGAACTCTGAGCCTGATCCCGTGAGCGGCCACGGTTGCTCCGCGAGTCGCCGTTGGTCGGCCCGTCCTTTGAAGGGTGCAGTTTGCGACGCATCGTTCGCTCGGCCTTCAGGGCGAGGAGGTGGACGGGAAGGAGGAAATATTTTGACAGGGGGAGGAAGAGCCCCGGATCTCCGACGAAATGAGTGTTCCAATCCACGTTTGTTTATGCAAATTCTGCCGCTAGGGGCCGTTATTGGGCCAGCGACCAGCTAACATTCGTCCATGGCGAAGAATTGTGGCCATGGGGCAGGGGTCGGGACCTTTGGGGCCGAGGAGTGACCGAAACATTTGCCAGATGTCTGGAAATGAAGGGTGAGGAGGAGCAGACAGGCGAGGCGGATGACGAGGAGGAGGAGGAACATGAGGAGGAGGATGAGGAGGATGAGGAGGAGAGGATATGGAGAAAGAAGGAACGAGGTTGATGAGGCAACAGGAGGATGGTGATGAGAATGGATGGCAGACGAAGGAGGACGGGAGGGGGGATGAGGGAACATGATGTTGGAGGAGGCTGGTGGAGGAGAGGGGACGTGGAGGAGAGACAGGCCGACGAGGAAGATTCGAAGAGGGGTGAGAGTGTACGCTTGCTGGTGATGCGGGAGATGGGAGGCAGATCGGCCTTGGATCGTCTCTCCCCATCCTTGTCTTCCACCTTACCTTTCCTGCGGTTGCTGCTGCTCGTCGCCTGTTGCACACCCCCCTTCCCCTTCCCCTCCCCCTCCCCCCCTCAACAATTACTCCATATGAATATTACTCTCCTCCTTCCCCTGATGACGGGTTGGGTGTGTTGCCCCCCCCCCCCCCCGCGTACTGTTTTTTACACAGGATTCCCCGGAGTTGGATTTTCGCTTGCATTTTTTTCAAAATGCTGCTCTCGCTATGGCGCCAGCCTCATTTTCGGGCCCCGCTCGTTCCGAATCGTGCTCCCGCTGCAGCGCTGGCCTCATTTCAGTGCTTCCGCTCGTTCCGAATCGTGCTCCCGCTGCAGCGTTGGATTCATTTCCGCGCTTCCGCTCGTTCCGAATCGTGCTCCCGCTGCGGCGCTGGCGTCATTTCCCGTGCCATGCCACGGCATGCAATGCAATGCTAGGTTGCGTTCCGCTGCGCGATGCCATGCCTTCAGCCGAAGCTGTGATATGCAGTGCTTAAGTGCCACGTCGTGCTATGCCATGCTACGCTTTGATCTTCAACGCCATGCTATGCAATGTTATGTTCGGGGCCGCTGTGCGATGCCATGCTTTGCGTTGCAACGCTTTGTGATACAATTCTTCACTACGCCACGCCACGCCATTATGTGACATACTACGCTTTGCGGTGCTCTTCTACGCCATGCCATGCCGTGCTCTACAATGCATCGCGTACCCTTTCGGGATCATTACCCTGCTCGACATCCGACTGTGCGAGTAGAGAGGGGGTCTACGCCATGGTAGGGAGGGTAGGATGTCAGATATGACGCGAGCGCACCTAGCTTGCCACATCCCATCCTCTCTTCCCGTCTCTCCCCCCGTCTCTCCCCTCTTGCTCCTTCCCCCCCCCCCTTCTTCTCGCCCTCCCTGCACCGCCCTCTCCCGCATCCCCCCGCGGTCTCCTCTCCCCGCCCCTCCTGCATTGTGTGCTTCCTCGTCCTGCCCGGGCACTGGGTCCAGGGATACGTCGGGCCTGTCCCTCTACAGGAGGAATTTTGAATCATAGTCAAAACGTATTCCGGGGACGATTGTTGAACCATTTTTGAATATCAGAGTGAGGGGGCTGAGCCGAACGGTCATTCACTGTCCCTGGGTGTGTGTGGCTGAAGTGGAATTCCGCGATAAGGATTCTTGTTGTTGTTTATTGTTGTCGTCGTCCCACCCGCGACCCGCCCCGCGACCCACCCGCGACCCACCCCGCGACCCACCCGCGACCCACCCCGCGACCCACCCGCGACCCACCCGCTACCCACCCGCGACCCACCCCGCGACCCGCCCCCGACCCACCCCGAGACCCCCCAGGCGACCCACCCGCGACCCACTGGTGACCCACCCGCGACCCACCTGCGACCCACCCCGAGATCCACCGCGACCCACTGCGACCCACCCGCGACCCACCCCGCGACCCACCCAAAATTTTCGGCGTCTGCGGCGGGTTTCTTTTGCATTCGTTCCAGGTGGAGAACCTGCGACCCACCCGCGACCCAAACCGCGTTCATTGTACAAGTCAACATTTTCGGCGCCTGCGGCGGGCTATTTTTGAACTCCTTCCAGGTTGAGGTGGAGAGCCCGCGACCCTCTCGTGACCCAAACTAGGTTCACTGATCAAGCCAAAACTTCGGCGCCTGCGGCGGGTTTCTTTTGCATCGGCGACCCACCCGCAACCCACCCCTAGACCCACCCGCGACCCCACACTCGACCCACCCGCGACCCACCCCATGACCCACCTAAAATTTTTGGCGTCTGCGGCGGGTTTCTTTTGCATTCGTTCCAGGTGGAGAACCTGCGACCCACCCGCGACCCAAACCGCGTTCAGTGTACACATCAACATTTTCGGCGCCTGCGGCGGGCTATTTTTGAACTCTTTCCAGGTTGAGGTGGAGAGCCCGCGACCCACCCGCGATCCAAGCTACGTTTACTGATCAAGCCAAAACTTCGGCGCCTGCGGCGGGTTTCTTTTGCATCGGCGACCCACCCGCGACCCACCCCGAGACCCACCCGCCACCCGCGACCCACCCGCGACCCACCCGCGACCTACCCCGGCGTCTGCGGCGGGTTTCTTTTGCATTCTTTCCAGGTGGAGAACCTGCGACCCACCCGCGACCCAAACAGCGTTCAGTGTACAAATCAACATTTTCGGCGCCTGCGGCGGGCTGTTTTTGAACTCTTTCCAGGTTGAGGTGGAGAGCCCGCGACCCACCCGCGATCCAAACTACGTTCACTGAACAAGCCAAAACTTCGGCGCCTGCGGCGGGTTTCTTTTGCATCGGCGACCCACCCGCGACCCACCCCGAGACCCACCCCGGGACCCACCTCGCCCGACGCCCGCGTCGCCCGCGCCCGCCCCTTCACTCTTATCCGCAATTGCGGGGTGTTACGTATTTGGAAGATTGTTGGCGTATACGTATTTTTGATTTTTCATCCAAAATCCCCCTGACGACCTCAGCCCAGGGACGTGTCCGCCCTCTTCCTTCATCCCTTGCCGTTCTCGTGAACGGCTCGGGGCTAGAAGCCGGCCTTGAACGGCTGGCCAGCCCGATTCTGTGCTTGCTTCCTGCCTCGGGGGCCGGGCTTCCGTCCTCCCCGAGCCGCTCTCGTCGACGGCCCCAGGGCCCGCCGCCTGCCTCGACGAGGGCCGGCTGGCCAGACGTGTCCGATCCGGCGGACGTTTTGGTCTTCCATCCCCCCTCCCGTCCCCCCTCTCTCTCCCCGCTTTTCCCCATTCACACCTACTCAAGCCTCAAGGTGAACACCGTTATCCTCTCTCCCCCGAGGACGCGTGGTCAGCATCGCGCCCCCCTCCGCCTCTTGTCGTTCACGCGATTCGCAGTAGGGGATGGTTCTCATGTTCTGTTGTTTTATCTGAGCGTGTCCAGTGTCTCAAAATGGTGTCCCTGCTGCAGCTTTGGCCTCGTGCTGCAAAGGACACCTTGCTCCCGTCGTTCAGAATGGCGCTCTCGCCCCCGTTTCGTGCAGCGTTTCCGGATCCGAGTACTTCCTTATCGCTGTCGCCCTCATCGTTTCCCCCTTTCCCTCCCCCCCCGCCTTCCATGGTCCTCCTGCTCCCCTCGCTTCTCCCTGCATCTGCTGATCCTCCTCGTCCGCATGCGTCCTCATCCTTCTCTTCGGCTCATCCGCCACTTCCTACTCATCCTCCAATGCACACAGCCCCCCTTCTCTTACTCCGCATAACGCGATCGGGTCTTCTTGGGGCGCCAGGTTCGCTGTGACACCCTCGGGTGGATGGGACAATCATCGCAGTGAGAAGAAATGGGTACGAGGGGTAGGATGTCAGATATGGCGTGAGCGCACCGAGCTCGCCTCCCGCCCGGGCCCCGCGGACCCGTTTCTGGTGTCTCAAAACGGTGCTCCCGCTGCAGCGTGGGCTTCATCTTAGGATAGGTTAGTTGCTCCTGCCGTTCAGAACGGCGCTCTCGCCCCAGCGCGGGAAATTTACCTGGATCCCCCTCTCCTTCTCCCTCCCCCTTCAATATTTTACAGATGCTTTGCCTGCGAAGGCGGCAGCAATCACTGCCTGCGTCCTCGGCGCCTATGCCGAATCACTGCTCGGGGAGCAGGCGCTTCTGTATGTGGCGCGCCGAGTGCGGTCTTGAAGTTCCTGACCAGCCAGCGGCTGAATCAGATCCGTAGACACGAGTGTATCAGCGATGCGACGCGATCCTCCGACCCCGTCTATTCGGACCCCATCTGGGAGGCCTCTAATGTAGGCAGCAGCGGTGCAGGTATCGGTTTCGCAGTTGGGGGTGTTTCGTGGCCAGCCCGATTGTAGGGCAGCGTTGTTCGTGTTTTTTCCTGCACTCGGTTCTGTGCGAGGTCGGCGTCGCACAACCCAGATTTCTAACATCGCCGTTAACCAACATCGCCGTTAGCGTGGCCTTGGCAGATGTGCAATCCCCCCCCCCTTTGGGCCGCCTATCGAGATCTGCGGCGCGAGCTTTACAACAAAGGCTCGCATCCCCGCGGCGCCACGGGGCCCTCCGACGCTATGGACCTCTTGCAGCGGCGGGACTGGGCGCGGCGGCAGCTCGTCCTGGCAGGAGCTCGCGGGGGGGGGGCTGGGGGAGGAGAGGGTTGAGCAAGACAAGAGGAGTCCTGGAAGGGGCGGAGGGCGGGAAGGGAGGGGAGAAGGAGAGGACTGGTGGGGCGGGGTTTGGCAGGAGGGAGGAGGAGCGGCGGGGGCCAGGGGGGCGGGAGGAGGAGCAGGGACGAGGAGGATGGGACGAGGAAGAGGGGCCGGAGAGGAGACCAGCGGGAGGAGGGGGAAGGAGGCGTCGAAAAGGAAGGGGCGGAGCAGGACGGGGACGCAGCAAGCACAGTACCCGATGCGCGCTCAACAAAGACAGCGCAGGAGGAGGACGAGGCTGCCCCCCCAAACAAGGAGCCGCCGCCGGGCTCGCGCTGGCCGCGGCCGCGCTCCTCGCGGCGCAGCTGTGCGGCTGGCGCCGATGGTGGTCGCTGCCCGCCCCCGCCCGCGACGCGCCGGAGGCGCCCCCGGAGGCGCTGCTATAGCGACCGGCGATCGGCGTCGCTCGGAGCGGCGACGCCCCGATTCGGCACGAAGTCGTGTACTCGGCCGGGGCACCTCCGCCGAGGGCCAGACGAGACAGAGGCAGTCGGGGTTTTCGTGGGCCCCGTCCCGTCGTCGCCGCGGCCGGTGGGTGCATCTCGGAACTCGGAAAACGGGTGCGTTTTCGGGCCCTGGGAGGCGTCCCGACGAGCCGCCCGGGTCTCAGCCTGCCCTGCTCCGAGCACAGGATCTGTCTGCTTGCATGTCCGCCCCGCCGCGCCCGCCAGTGGCCCTGCGAGGTGGACGACCCCAGGAGGAGAGCGGCAGCAAGGGGGCGGAGGGAACTTCACCCCGGGCCCCCCGGCGCGGGGACCAGGATGAACCAGGAGCCGGGGGGAGGAGGAGAGCGAGGGACAGAAGACCGCCGCCGAGAGGAGACCGCCGCCGAGAGGCGACGTCCGAGCGACCGCCCGACAGACGGCCAGAAGGATAGTGCGCATCGGAGGCCTCTGAAGAGCGAGGGGCATCAGAGTCAGTTGTGCGGCACGGCAAGACCGACTTGAGCACCGAAAGAGGCGGTGACAAAGACCGACAGCAGGTCTTGCCCGCTTTGAAGAGGGCTCGTTGTCGGTGCCGCCGCGGGCGTTGTGCTTTTGAGACAGGAGCCGTCTGCCCACCAGCGGCCGCTGTCGGTTTTGGACATCATTCGGCTTTGGGCATCGTAACCATTTTCTCAGATTTTTTTGGGGACGTCAAAATAGGCATCGCCTGCCAAAGATGGTCGGTGGCGTTCCGGACGAACTGGTTGCAATGGAAATCCGGCCTCTGGTCTCGAATTCTGGTCGACGGCCTCGGTCCTTTCGCCTGGACCCCGACGCTCCGTTTTTTCGATTTCGAGCCAACATTCGACCCCTTCCGGTTGCGACCGGAACTGGGCGCGCCAGAAAACCGTGATCTGACATGTCGGGTCGCGCAAGATTTGGGTGAGGGCCCCGCGGACTCTGACGATGTCTTTTTGTTTGGGACGGCGCGCGCACAGTCTCAGAGGATGACGAGCTGAGACAACGACAGTTGGCCTTCGGGCGGCCCCCTCGTCCCCGCGGCCGGACGCAGCTCGTGGAACCTGGTGCGTCTGGGCCCCAGGGGGGGGTCCGGTTGTTGAGTTCTCGCTTCGGAGGAATATTTATTGTAGATCCCCACGCACGGTGCACATAGTATGTTTTCAAATGAGGTGCCCATCCTGGGGCTCGCACCCTGTTCTTGGTCAGGGAAATTTTTGAGCGTCAAACTGCGCCCCCTCCCCGAGTGACAACAACAACAACGTTTCCCGCCCGCTGTTTTTTGACAATTTATTGACAAATCAGGCCCCCGCGCGGGACGTCTTCTCCATTTATACAGGAATCGCGCTTTCGAGCAGGACTTCGCCGCCATTATTCAGACGCCGCGCCCTCGACACTCAGGAATCACGCTCTCGCTGTGGATTTCCGGACAACTTATTTAGGAATCGCGCTGTCGCTCGAGAGTTTCTCGCGAATCGTGCATGCAGGACGCACGTTTCAGCAACCCGCCTGCTCGATTTGGCCGTCTGGGCCCGCTTTCCCGGCCCGCCCGTTAAGGTCTACCCGCCCGATTTGCCCGTCTGGTTCTGCCACATGTTTTCTGTTCCGAGCCCCCCTCCTGCTATTCCTTCTCGTGCTCCATCCGCCTCCCCCTTTGTCTGTTCCTTCCATCCGTCTTTTCTTCTCCTGCCTGAGAGGCTGCGCAACATGCGCGCTGCAGGTAACAATGATGTATTCTCCCAAGGGGGGTACGATCGAAAACGAAGAGGGCGGGTATCGAGGGATTGGGATATACGTGTCCGGCCCGCGAGCAGATAAGAGCGTACTGTGTGAATTCTCACCAATGAAGGATTGCCACAGCGATGCACACAGTATGAGGGTACTTGGGGAGGCAGTTCACTCAGAAGTGAGGACAGCACAGGATTCACGCAGGGTCTGCTCGCCCGGTCTGCCCGTCTGGTTCTGCCACGTGATTTCTGTTCGTGTCCCCCCTCCTGCTAATGTCTCTCGTGCTCCATCCCTCTCCCTCCCCCTTCCATCCGTCCTCTCTTCGCCTGTTTTAGGGGCTGCGCTAAACGCGCGTGGCAGGTAAGGAAAACATGCCCCTAATTACGGGGGTACGATCGAAAACGACGAGGGTGGGTATCGAGGGTTTGGGATATAATTACGTGTTGAGTGGCACGCGAGCAGATAGAAACGAACAGTCTTCAACTGATTGTTGTTGTTGTTCGTGGTGGTGGTGGTGGTGTCGTCGACGTCGTCGTCTTCGTCGCCGCGACCAACCCCGCGACCCACCCCGCGACCCACGCCGCGCCCGCCCCGCCCACTCTTCTCCGCCATCGCTTGATGTCTGCGGCCAGGGCGGCGCGGCTCGCGGCGGCGCGGGCCGCGTCGGCACGGGCCGCGGCGGCGAGGGTGGCGCCCGGACGCCGCCGAGTTCGCCCGCGCGGGCGGGCTCGGCGGCCGCCGCGCCGTCCGCGCGGGCGGGCTCGGCGGCCGCGGCGCCGCCGGCGGCCGCGGCGGCGTCCGAGGTGCAGGGACAGCTGAAGACTTCCGACGATGTTCAATGGCGGCGCCTCGCCGACGTCAGCATTTTCAAAGTTTTTTGACGCCTTCGTCGGTTCTCGTCGGCCCTCCAGCCTTGAGATGTGCCTTCCAGCGGCTGCGCCTCGCCGAGGGCCTCCTTGGGGTGCTTGGATTGTTCTGGGCGGCCGCCCAAGAGTGAAGCTGTGACGCGAAAGCCAAAGGGCAGTGTCAGGGCTGGGTAGGTTCAGGGGGGCGGATACATCGGACTGGAATCGGCGATGCATCGCCGATGTAGATCGGCGCTGGGCCCCCAACAGCCGGTCCTCAAGCTCCTGGGGTGGGTGGGCCGTCAGGCCCCTATGGGCGATCCATCGCCGATTTCAGCTCGATGCCTCCTTTCAAGAGACCACCACCCAACCCCACACTCACCCGGACGATTTTGGGTTTTCCCAACGCCCGTGGATGTAGACGCCGCGCTCCCAAGCGACGAATACAAATCGCCACATGTCTGATTCCAGAAGTGGCCCTATAACACCGTCCTTGTGGTTTTTGCATTGTTGTTGTTGTTGTTGTTGTTGTTGTTCTTGTTGTTTTTGTTGTTGTTGTTGTTGTTGTTGTTGTTGTTGTTGTTGTTGTTGTTGTTGTTGTTGTTGAACATTATTTATTCTAAAGAATAATTATTGTTGGGCCCCCTGGTGCGCGCCCCCCCTGCGCCGCCTAGGCCGCAGCTACATTTTCATCATTTTCGTGAGGAAGCCTCAGAAAAGAGGGTGTGTACAGGATCCGGTTGTTTTGTTGTAATCCGCTTTCCCTTGCAAAAAACAATAGAAAATGACATTTCTTGTTCTAATATAATCAAATTTCAAGAATCCCTTGCAAAAAATAAGGTAAAGTGGACATTCGCGCGCGCAAGACGAAATCCTTCCAAAACCTTAGTGTTCGCAGCGATTTTAACATAAAAACATCAAAAAACCAATGGTTTTTCAACAAAAAATTGTCAAAATCTCATCCCGCGCGCTCTTGCGGATTCGTAGGAAACCCAACACTTTTTAAACATTTCTGTCAAACGGGCTTTTGCGAGCAACTTTTTCGAACTTCTGCGACAACGGTTGCGCACCTGCCAGGGCCATCATCCCTGTCAAATAATACCATGCGGGACACATTCGTTTTTTCTTCGCGCGCGCACGCCGAAATCTCCAAAAACCATTGGGCTTCTTAAGAATTTTAGCACCGCGCATCATAAAATCACACGAATCGCACCGTAGGTCCTCGAAAAACACCTGCACGACTTTTCAAAATTTCTACCCGCGCGCGCTGTCCGAATCCTAAAAAAACCAATGGTTTTCCAACATTTATGTTACATGAGCTCGCGCGAGCTACTTTCGCACGCTCTTGCAACGGGGTTCGCGCGCCTGCCAGGGGCCACAATCCCTTGCGGTTGCGCCATAGGTTGCGCCCTCGGCCGCCGAGAATAAAACGTCCCCCTATTGGTTGCGCCATAGGTTGCGCCCTCGGCCGCCGAGAATAAAACGTCCCCCTACTGGTTGCGCCATAGGTTGCCCCAGGAGGCCTTCAAGAGGCCCCAAGAGCCCGCCGTGAGGACCCAATAAGCCCCCAAGAGGCCCCAAGATGCTTCCAAGAAGCCCCCCAAAGCCCCTCAATGTCCTGCTCCTCCTCCTCCTCCTCCTCCGGCGGGGGGCGTGAGGATCCGGCATCGCTCACAACCATCGGGACAACCATCGGGACAACCATCGGAACAACCATCGGGACAACCATCGGGACAATCATCGGGACAGTCATCGGGACAACGATCGGGACAAGCACAACCATCAGGACAACCATCGGGACAATCATCGGGACAACGATCGGGACAACCACAACCATCAGGACAACCATCGGGACAACCATCGAGACAACCATCGGGACAACCATATCCTCTCTCTCTTGTGTATTCCCACATCCCTCAGGAATTTGCCCTAAAGATGTGATCAACTATCTTGTGAGTACGTATCATGTGTATCATGTGTATCATGTACCATATGCATCATATGCAACAGATGTTCTGTGGAAGGCTTAACAACTTCTGTGGGTTAACAAGGCTTAACAACTTCTGTGGGTGTACGAACGTAGGCTTAACAACTTCTGTGGGTGTGTACTCCACGCCAGTGTAGTAGCCACGGTCGTCCGCAGGCCACGAAGTGAAGTGTCCGAACGTCATAGGGCGGGAAGCTGGGTGTGGGTGGTGGCGAAGAGTCGTGTGGATATTTGGTAGAGCTTGCACTGCCCCCCCACAAAGTGGGGGTATTGGCTGGCGTCGCATGAAAGCCCTGTCACTGGTGAGAACACTGAGCGTTCGGGTAAAGTGATTGTTGTTGTTGTTGTTGTTGTTGTTGTTGTTGTTTGTCTCGTGTTTTCGTATCTGTTGCACATTTTATGTAGCTCGGCGCTCGCGCATAAGAACAGTGCTGGTGCATGTGTGCGGATACACGATTTGAGCAAAGACGCGATGTCAGCAGTGCTCCAGATAGTCTGGCGCCTGACGAATTTTACCAACAAGTCATGGGTGCCTGGGAGTTGTTTCTTCACAGAAGGTTTTGATGCTGATGATGATTCTGATGCTGATGATGATGTTGATGATGATGAGGATGATGATGATGATGATGATGATGGTGATGGTGATGATGGTGATGATGGTGGTGGTGGTGGCGATGCTGCTGCTGCTGCTGATGATGATGATGATGATGATGATGGTTTGATGTTGTTGTTGTTCACAGTTGTTGGGTTTGACGATGGTTTTGGCAGAGGGGCCTCGCCTGGTGCACGACCCGCCGACGGCAGGCGTCGGGCCACAGCTCCCCGAGAGAAGCCTCGAGCACATGACATGTGATGTGGTGGGTGTGTATGATGGGTCTATTTTCCACTACCACTTCCATAGGTCGGACAGGGAGGAGGAGGAGAAGGAGGAGGAGGAGGACATCCTCATCCTCCCCTCTCCCCCGTACTTGAAAACGTGCCCATCATGTGTGTGGGGGGGCCCAGTCAAGGGAGGAAAAAACACCCGGACTTGACAACTGGCGTTTACGAAGCGGCCTTGGGCGTGGATTAAACAGCCCTGCCCTGTTCGATTCCTTCTCTGGACGCGCTCGCTAAAGGCCTCGCGTGTCGGGGTGGCTATTATCGGGGTGGATGTTCTGCCTTCTACTTGGGTTGCCTCGATCCCCCTCTGAGCCCACCCGCCCTTTGGCGTTGCCCCTCCGCAGAGATTCGCCCCCAGAAGCCTGTGCTCGCAGGACTGTGGAGTAGCAGGCAGCCTCCGCGCAGCATGCAGCACGTTGCGCCCACAGCCCTCCTCGGCAAGAGACTGCTCCATGGTAGCTCGTGGGCCACGCCCACGCGTGCCTGGAGAGAGGCTGCGGAGGATGAGGGGCCCACGAACGTCTGGCGCAATCCACCGCCGGGTGGAGCGAGGAGCTGGCTGGCGGCCCGGCGAGGGCAATCAGCCTCTTTTGATCGCGGGTACTCCCGCGTCGGCCGCAGGCTGGAGGGTGGGGCCGGCAGCCCCGGCACAGGCGGCAGTCGGCAGCCCCGCGCCGCCTCGGCGGGCTGTCCCGGTGGCCAACGATCCGCGGCGTCGACGCAAGAAGGCACCGATGGGCGCCACCAGAGGCCCGGCACCGCGGCCAGGAGGGGGCAGCAGGCCGCGGAACCGCTGCCAGAAGTGCCGGAGAGGGTCGTCCTGGAAAGAGGACGAGCGTATTGAGGAGCACGAAAAGGAGTCGGAGGACGAAGACCTTTCCGTCCTGCTACCTTCAAGGCCGCGCTGCTTCGAAAGGCGTTCCACGTCTACTCTCCATTGCGGTCGAGTCAGGGAAGGGCTCGGGCCAGAAAGGGAGCGAAAGCAATGTAAATGAAGAGGTCATGGAAACGGCGTCTGCGCGGGTAGCCCCGCCGTCGCCGGACGAGACGGATGGCAGAGGAACGGTTCAGGTGGTTGGCCAGGCAATTGGAGCAAATGGCGCAGCTGTTGAGTGCGATTGGTCAAGAGACCCGTCAACTGAAAACGTCGGTGGCCAGGCAGCAACAGTTGATCGGTCAGCTGCAACAGGCGGGAGGGGCCGCGCAACATATGGCGCGGCATCGCGGTTTCCGTAGTTTCCAATGAGTCAGTCGGTCTCTTGATCGAGGCGCTCGCGGAGAGGACCAGCAGGCGATCGAGAAGGACCAGCAAGTTCTTGTCGACGTGAAAAGCATAGGAAGGCCACGCAGGTTCACCAACGACGAGAGCAAGTTTCCAGGGCGGTGCAACAACATCGAGGACTGCTTGCTTGAAGTCGAGCCGCAACTAGCAGCCGGGCTCGAGCGGGCGCTCGAGCAGAAGGACGAGTTCACGACAGCTGAAGCAGTCCTCTGTCCTCGCTGCTGGCCGTGGCACAGAGAATGCCATCGACTACATTCGGGCGCTCAACCGCCAGATCAAGTCGGCGCTTTCGAACCTGGCCGAGTGCGAATCGTGGGCGATCGCCCGCGACAGCGACCGCAATGGTCTGGAGGCACGGCGCGGGCTGCGCAGAATGTTCGACGCGCTGACGCGTGGAAGGCGCCGGGCGCCGCCGCGGTCCATCCCGCCCCCCGCAAAATGAAACTGGAACGGGTGGGGCGGCGCCTCAGTCGTGGAACGGGTAGCTTCTATTGCGGGCGGGTGCCTGCGCAGTGCCTTGGAGGCGTCGGCCCCCGGCGACGTCGGCAACCGCCTGCGGATCAACGCGCGGGGAAGCAGGTCCGCGCGGCACTGCAGGAGCGCATGAAGAGCTCTAGCCCCGGCGGCCCGGCGCCCGCGGACGTCGAGAACTCGCAAACCAGCCGAGGAGGAAAAGACCCCGCGGGCAGCGCAAGAGGACAAGAGAAGCATCCCCGACAGCGGAGGAAGCCGGCTCGCGCACCCAGCCGAGCGCCGGCAGCATTGCAGTTTCAGCGGCCGTGAGACACTTGAACGCAGCGCCGTGGCCTTCGCAGGCCAGGTCCTCAGTGGAGGAAGGTAGGCGGTGTGCCGAGCACGTTGGGCGCATAATTCTGCGCGGCGCTCTCGTCGCGGAAGCAAGTGCCGCGGCGGCCCAGCGGCGCGAGCGGCCAGGGCCGGGGCAGGCCGAGCTGCATTGTCACAAGGGGAAAGGCGTGTACACTTTCGACCTGAAGATCAATGCTCAGGAGGACATCGACGCAGTCCCCGCGACGACGGTGAGTTCGACGTTTTTCAGGCGGCGGGACGACCACTGGCACGCCCGCTCGAAGCTCCAGCTGCAAGCCTTCCCGCGCCGGAGGAAACGCGGGCTGCGATGGCCTCGCGCCTGCGGCGGCAGGGTCAGGGGAAGAGCATGGGGCATGCTAGGAACAGCCTAGGGCACGCCAGCTGGCTGCCCCGCCGCCCTCGTGCCATGGCTGAGCTTTCCGTTCGCTGCGCAACGGCGCGCGGTGTCAATCGCCGCCTGCGCCCCCGCCGCGGCAACGGCGAGGCGATGGCGAGCGGCGCCTGTCGCGGGCAGCAGAGCGAGCCGCGGGCGAAAGCGCCGACAGCGTCGTAGGTTCTGACTGTGGCTTCGTTCGGGGCCCCGAACAGAAAGAGATCACGGCGATATCAGCCGCCGAGAACCATGCGACAACGCGGTGCGATGCGACGCCCATGTCCCGGGCGGGGCACCATCTCTTCAACGTTCAGTTCTTGTTTTGCAGGGTCGGCGACAGAGAATGGATGTGAGACAACGCCGGGCGAGCCCGGCGGTGCACGCAGCTTGGCTGGGAGCAAGCGGCGTCGTAGTCCCCATGCCAGTCGCGGACGCGGCGACGCAGGAGTCGCCCGTCAGCGACCGGGCGAACGGCGACGCGGCAAACGGCGCCATGGGAGTGACGGGGTGGACCTCCCCGTCGACCGTCTGTCGTGGACGCGGCCATTGCGCCGCGCAGCAGCCTGCTTGAGCAGGCGTTGGTACGGCGGGCGGTGCCGCGGCGGGCGCGCCCCGAGCGCCGCGAAAGGCGGCGGCCGCAAGGGGGCCGCAAGGGCGGGCAGAGAAGCGGCCGGCAGCCGCGAGGGGGGCCCACCATGGCACCCGGCTGGGGCGTGCCGAAACGACCGCGGGAGGACCCGCCACGCGACCCCCAGCCTGAGGCGGCGGGCGGCGGCGCGATCGCGCCGCCAGCGGCGCAATCTTTGGCAGCCTCGGCACCGCATGGGGCGAGCATAAGCTCGTCGGCAGAGCCAGCTGTCGGCGGCGCCGCGCCGGCTTCGGCCGCGGGGGGGCCCGCGCCGGACATGCCAGGCGCGGCCGTGGGGGGGTTCTCGGCGGGGGAGGAGGAGCTGCGACGCATCGGTGAAAGTCAGATCGCCGAAGCACGCCGCACAAGTTGCGTCGTTTTGTCGCTTACAGAACGGGATGGCGCCACCAATTTGGCACTCGAGCCAGAGGCCGCCCACGCGCCGGCTGCGCGCCCAACAGGGCGCGCGGTCCGCAACGCCTTTGCTGGCAGCTTGAAGTTGATGTTTGGAGTGTGCATGTGCGTGGAGTGCTCATGGGTTGATGGTGCGAAGTAGCATTTCGCTCAGAAGGTATATGTTTCTGCGTGACTCGAGCCGCCAGACCGCGCGGGCCCCCGCGTCGACGTCGGCCCGCCCCCCCCAGCCCGATCCAAGGAGGAGGGGCCAGGTGAAGGAACGCGGGGCGGAAGGGGGATCCGTGCGCGCGTGGGCCAACGCAGGAGACGACGGCGCACTCTGCGCACAATCCCCTGCGAGTTCCATGACCAACCTTCCAGATAGATAGAGCAGCGGCGTTGCGACGGAAGCGCCCCCGCGAGAGAGGCAGCGAGCGGCCCCGCGCCCGCGAGCCGCGCCCGCGCGCGAAGCTGGGGGGCGGCCTCGCCAAAAGGTCGCACCAGCACACGCGCCAGCGGTGGCGCAGTGCCTCCTGCGAGCCATTCGCGAGAGCATGGGCGCCCGCGGCCAGCTGTCCGGTTTGGCCCGGCGCATGTTGGCCCAGATCTCTTTGACGTCGGCTTGGGAAGCATGGGCGAGGGCGAGCGCTGCTGGGGCGAAGCGAACGGGCGGCTCGACCCGCAGATGTTTCGTGAGGCGCGGCGTCGAGAGGTTGATTTGTTGCGCGAGCAGGACTTGCGCGAGGATAGGGCCGCTGGAGAATTTGCGGGCGATCGGTTTGTTGCGCGGCAGGGCTACCGCCCATCAGATTGTCGTGGATAGGCCTTGAGGAACGCGGCCGCGAAGAACCGACGGGTCGCGGGCTGTCGCGCAGGATCGAGATACGCGGCATGGGCGACTTGGGGGCGGAAGTTTCAGGCGCACCTATCTCGGCAACGCCGCCGTTGCAAGCACTCAGAGTTTTTGAGCGGCATGATGGCCCGAAGGCGGAGGTCCAGTCGGAAGAGGGCCTCTAGCCGCGAGATTTCCGGCGCGCCCCGCGCTCGTTCCCATGGGGGACCGGAGAGAGCAGTGCGCGTGGAGTCGCTAGGCGCGGAGGAGGACGTCGCACGTCGTGGCCAATTTGAGCAAAGTATGCGCGGCGCGCAGGGTACTTTTGCAATCTGCCAGCGCGATTGCACTGCAGATTTTTGAACAGACGGACGCAAGCCTGGCAAAGCCACTCCGGTTTTCTTTGCGGTTGCCTGTCCATGGAGACCATTTTTGCGGGCTGGAGCCCGAGGTGGCCCCGGGGGAGCTGGCGGGGTCGCGCTGGCCCAGGTGCGATCCAAAGTCGCGATCCAAAAGTGCTCGGGGCCGTGAGTGGCCAAGCAGTGGTTCTTGAATCGGTTGTCGCGCCTTTCCGGTCGTGACGCGACGGGGGCGTCGAGTTCGACGCAGACCCCCGCCACGCGCAGATGATCGCGGCAGAGACCGGGCCAGCAGGAGAAAGCGCGAACGCGTTGGGCGCGCCCGGGCGGAAGGAAGAGGAAGCAGAACGCTAGCAGCGTGAAAACGTCGCCATCACTGATTGAAGATGCTGTTAAACAGTATACGGGCGCGGCGATGCGAGCATTTTGTTTTGTTTTTCACCATATCGAGCAGACAAATGAGACGCAGTCAAGGACTTGGCGCATGTCATGCAGGCTCCGAGGTAGGTAGGAGCCGCGCGTTTGAAGAGCGTGACCACATATCTCAACGGACGACAGTGCGTCGCGCGGCAATTCGCTAGAGACAGGACTGCTGCCAACGTCGACGCCACCAAGTCGGTCGTCATGGTGGGAAGGGACAGCGCCGGAGACACGGGGCCCCGGGGGCCAGCAGTCGGCCAAATTGGTTTCACCGGCAAGCACGTGGTCATGCACAAACGCAACGTGTTGCAACGCAAGTTATTGGTACCTCGCCTGGCGAGAACGAGTACCATGCCATATGCGTTGGTGTTTGACCCGAACTGTGCATTCAAGGTGTGTTATAGAAGACTGGAATGTTGCGCGCGAGCAGAAGGTGGTCTCTGATTAACCAGCGGCACGAGTTTTTTTTGTGTGGGGGGAAGTAGGAAAGCTGAACCACATGCAGACAGTGGATCTGCGCACAGGGCAGGCTCGCGATCGAAGGAGAGCACGGCCGACCTGCTCACCAGGCCATCTACGACGAAGGATACGGAGGAACACGTGCTTGGAATCCACCAGGCGTTCCCGGAAGAGCGCGCGCAGTCCGGCTTGCGCCTGTTCTGCCCAGACCGGAGAGGAGCCCGAGGCGAAACGTACGGCACTGAACGTGAACTCGACTTTGAACGCCTGGTTGCGGGTGGCCCCGCGCCGAGCGGTGAAGACATTCTTGACGCGTCGCGTATCCCCACCAATCCATCCTCAAACGATGCCCAGGCTAGGTGGATTGAAGGAGGAAAGGCGGGGAATAATGACGAGGAGGGATGAGGGACAGGAGGGAGGGAGGAACAGGAGGAGGAGGAACAGGAGGAGGAGGAGGAGTATGAGGAGGACGAGGAGAAGGAGGAGGAGGGCGACCAGGAGGAGGAGGAGGAGGACGAGGAGGAGGAGGAGGAGGACGAGGAGGAGGAGGAGGAGGATCAAGTGGAGGAAGACATGGATGAGGGGGAGGAAAAGGAGGAGGAGGAGGAGGAGGAGGACAAGAAGGAGGAGGAGGAGGAGGAGGAAGAGAAAGAAGAGGAGGAGGAGGAGGAGGAGGAGGAGGAAGAGGAGGAGGAGGAAGAGGAGGAGGAGGAGCAGGAGGAGCAGGAGGATGAGGTGGAGGAGGAGGAGGAGGATGAGGAGGACGACAATGGCGAGCTTGGGGACTTTTTGGGCGTCATGGGGGCCTCTTGGCGGTCCTGGGGGCCTCTTGCGTACCAACGGGGGCTTTCTGGGGGTTTCTTGGGAATCCCTTGGAGGCCCCTTGGGCGCCTCTTGGGGCCTTTTGGCGCATCTTGCGCCTCTTTGGGCTCTCGTGGGGCGCTCTTGGGAGGCGTCGGGACGTGTTTGGAACCATTTGGGAGGACATCGATTTAAGAGTGGAGGCCTAGAATCGATTTTTGGACTCCTCTTGGAGCGCTCTTGGGGCGCTTTTTGGGCCGTTCTGGTGCCCTTCCAGGCCTGGATTGGGGCTCTCTGGAGCTCTTGGAGCTGTCGTGAGGCCTCGGAAAGCCATCGAAAGCAACAAGGCGACAACGCCACATTATTTGATTATCCTCAGGTTGTTGAAGCCTCTTGAAGCATCTTTGGAGCCATCTTGAGGCATCTTGGGCTATGTGGTGCCATCTTGGACGTAATGCTGGTCTCTCTGATGCCCCCCTAGAGCCGTCTTGGGCCATCTTAGATGCTCTGACCGCTCGCGAACCCACTCCCCTCCAGGTACAGCGGATGGTGCAGCGGGGGGGGTAAACCCATCCCCGAAGGGCTCATGTGATTCACCCTCAGACGTTTGTAGCGGCATCAGTGTAGTATGCAGCCCCTTTCGGCAAAAGATGTTCTCCCGCAGAGGTAGCCCGCGGCCAGGTGGTGCACTGGGCGGCTGGGCTGCGCAGGGCCGACGCGGCGCGGCTGCCAGAGCTGCTTGCGTGGGTGGGCAGGCTGCTTGGGGGGGTGAGATGGATATCGGTTGCGCTGGCAGGGTGCAGTCGAAGACATGCCTCTGGCATCAGTTGATCAGTTGAGATGTTGAACGATCTGATGTTTCGGACGCGACCGATCGTTCATGGTTGAATGATCTTTGCGGTATCAGACACCAGAGCCGATGTCGGCACGACACGAACCTCAGTTGAATTTGCGCTGGAGCCCCCTCTGACGCTCCCGATCGCACCCGAGGCCGCTGCCCTGGTCAGGCTTCGCAGATAAACTCGGTGAAACCCAACTCTTTGGCGGGGGCCAGCGCTTCCCTCCAGCACCGCTTCGCGCGCGCCGCTAATTGCTCCAGTTGCACGGGCACCCTGTCCTCGTGGCGCGGGGCGCGCGAGAGCAGCGCGTGGAGTTCCAGCCACCAGTCGTCGTCTTCCTTCTAGCCATTCCAAGCCTCGTGGCGGCCGCAGTCCAGGATCACGCTTGGGCGACGTCGGCCGCACGGGCCGGACAACCGACTGCCCAGGGCGAGAATCTACAGGACCGACACGGTCTGATTGTGGACCGATCGCGCCCAGGCTATGGGTCCACGAAGCGTGTGAAACGTGGGGGTCCTGATGGGGCCACGAAGCACCGCAGTGGGCGCAGGAACCGCATACGGGTTCCGCCACTGCGTCCTTCGGTGCAGCTCCCAAAGGGACCACGAAGTGACGTGCTGGGTGCCGGAACCGCATGCGAGCCCCTCCACTGGGACCTTCGGTGGAGCTCCCTCTGGGGCCACAAAACGCTGTAGTGGGCGCGGGAAACGCACGCGAGTTCTGCCATTTGGACCTTCGTTTGCATACCTCTTCAGTCCACGAAGCGCTGTCGTGAGCGCAGAAACCGCGTGCGAGCTTTGCCACGTGGACCTTCGGTGGAGCTCCCTATGGGGCGTCAAACCGTTGCACTGAGCGCAGAAAACACGCGCGAGTTCCGCCAGTGGGACCTTCGGTGGAACTCCCTATGGGGCCACGAAGTGTTGCGCTGGGCGCAGAAACTTCAGGCGAATTCCGCCACTGGGGATATCGGTGGAGCTCCTTATACGGCCACGAAACACCGCAGTGGGCGCAGGAACCGCATGCGAATCCCGCCACTGGGACCTTCGGTGGAGCTCCCTATGGGACCACGAAGCGCTGCAGTGGTCGCAGGAATGGCGTCACAATTCCGCCACTGGGACGGACCTTCGGTGGGCTCCCCATGGGGCCACGAAGCGTTGAATTGGGTGGGAGAAACGCAGGGACGAGGGAGGAGGGGGAGAAGGACATATGGAACGCGGGGCATTGTTTTTTCCTGCCAAAATGAGGACCCACCACCACAGGGTGGTTGGGAAACGGGGGGAAAACGAATGATTGAAAATGGTATAAAGAAATACCGGTGGAGAAAGAGAAAGGGAGAGAGAGAGGAATTGACAGAGAGAGAGAGAGAGAAAGAGGGGAACGAAAGAGAGAGAGAGATATGTTGAGGAAGAGACAGAGAGAAAAGAGAAACAAACATGAATTTTCGGAACGACAGATGCGATAACACGGAGACAAACAAGCGTCAACATCATACGTAGAGAGGAGTCGAAGAGAAAGAAGAAGGGAGAGGGGGTCCACCCACAGCTGCCTGGTGAGAGTCGCCCACCGAAATCGGCCGGCGACTTTGGCCAGTATCTTGAGGGGGTGCCCGCCGCAAGCCGCCCACAGAGAGCTGCCCGCCGAAATCGGCCCGCTAGTTCGGCCAATCCTTTTTATGTTTGCCAGGACCCCTTCAGGATAAACATTGACTGAGGGGGAGAAAGAGGAAACGCAGGAGGATCAGGGAGAGCGGGAGGGGAATGAGGCAGGAGGGAGGAGGAAGGAGGAGACACAATCGAAAAAGGAAGTGGAGGAGGAGGGCGGGCAGAAAGGCCAGAGGCTTCTTTTCGAACTTCATTCGGTAGCTTTTGGGGGTCCTCTTCGGGCGTCTCGGGGGTCTCTTGGCAGTTCCTGGGGCCTCTTGAAGCGTCTTGGGTGCCCCTGGGGGTCCTCCTGGTGTCCCTTGGGGGTCTCCCGGGAGTCTCGTGGGGGCATCTTGGAGGTATCGTTGGGGATTCTTGGGGCCTGGGAGCCTTTTCGGGCCGTCTGGGGGCACCCTCGGGAGCCTGAGCCGCCATCTTGGGGCCATCGGAGGGATCGGTCTACGGAGAGGGGCTCCTAAATTAGGCTCACCCAGGAGGCAGGCCAACATCTTCGTACAAATAGTGCTTTGGGCCTTCTCACCGAGGCCTCTTGGGGCGTCTTGGAGGACGCCTTGGGGGCCTCTTGTGGGCCTCTGGGGGTCGTCAGAGCACGTGTTGGGGCCATCTTGGGGCAACCTCCGGAGCCCTAGGGGGCAATTTTTCAGAGGAGGGAGGGGCCTTAATCAGCTCACACTGTGGCCAACATGTGGCAAACGCCATTGTGCAATCAATGAGTTTGGCCTTCTCGCCGAGGCGTCTTGGGTGCTTCTGGGTGTGAGTAGAACCCGTGTAATACCCTCATATATACACCTTATCCTCACCTCTCCTGCGCCTGGCCGTTTGGGCTCAGGTATTGGGACAGATCGATCAGACTTTTGATCGAGAAGGAGGGAAAGACATCCATCTATCCCTCCTTCCCTCTACCAACGGATCAGGGGTTTTGTACCCTTGTACTTCAACCCCATACACAGGTTATCAGCCCTTTAAAGCTCACCGTTCATCGAACCCCGCGTCGCGACCTCGCACGCGGCCTCGATGGAACCCAAGCGGCGCATGCGCTGCAAGGGGTCCATCGGGGCCTCGCGTCCGAGCTCTCCGACGGCGCGACGGCTCGGTGATGAGTTGGAGAGCCTTAGTGCGGACTGTGTTGGTGTCCCAGGTACCCCCCCCCCCCCAGCTCCGACGGGCCCGAGGCGCGGCTTGCTGCTGAACTTCACCGCGGCGCCGCCCGCGGGGGGACAGGAGAAGGAGTAGGAACAGGAAGGAAGGAGTTTCACACGCCTACCTTCGATCCCCCATCTCCTCCTCAGTCGGGAGCAACCCCAACTGCGTCAGGCGAAAGCCTCACTGGTCCTGATACTCCAGGGCGCTTTCGCGTTAACCGCCGATGGACCTCAGGTGCTGGTACCCCCAGCCCTGCGACCGTTCCTGTTGCGGAGCACGTAGCCACCTTCGAGGAACTCTGTAGACCAGTGGCGGCACAGCCGCAGACGCAGTATCCCAAGGTATCATCGGATGAGACACCACACACACATGGTCCGAGTCGCAGCTCGTCCGCGCGCAACCGTCGTGGGCCCCCAGGCCCATGCGGCGAGAGTAGGTCGAGCCCGCGTACTGCCTCTCAGAGGCCATGCGCTCCCCGCGAGAGGGGGCGCAGGGAAGCTGACGCTCCCCACCTCTCCATCTCAGACGACCAGCTGGCGGAAACGTCCGCCGCAGGTGAAATAGCTGAGCTTAGAGACCAGGTTGAAACCTTCGCGTCCAGGCAATACTCTGGACTACTGCAGAGCGTTCAGACGAACGCCGCCGATGCTGCAGCCATACGCCACGATCTGGACGGCGCCTTAGGGGTCATTGATTCCAGGATCGCCGAAGATCGACGCATCATAGGTGAACTGCAGTACCAGGTTGAGCGTGAGGTGTCACACTCAGGTGAACGAACGGCGATGGTCGAGAACCTGCGCAACTACCTCGCGCAGATGGAGCAACAGCTTGTGCTCGTACGCGGCACAGGCGTTTCAGCAGTCAGGATCTTACATGATGAGATCCACGACCAGCTCCGCAACCGACCAACACCAGCCGAGGCCACCGACCTTGGCGACGTTCAGTCTCAGATCAATGATCTTCGATCCTACATGGACCGCGCTACGGCGACGCTTCGCAACGAAGCACACACTAACTCGTCGAACCTGATCGACATGTTGCAGCGCACTGAGAGAGTCATCGCTCAAAGGCTTGATGCGCCCAACGCTGTCGTGCAGCCACTCGCTAGCCGGATCTCTGAAATCCAACGGCGTTTTCCTGATGTACAGGACGCCCTGGCAGAGTTGCGTGTCGGACGAGCCCAGACTGGCCAGCTGGATTCTCCTCCTACGGTTTACGATTTCGCCCGCCTCGCTGGCAGGTTGCAGGAGGTCGAGAAGGCGGCGGACCACGCGCAGTTGGAACTCTCCCAGGTTATTCGTGGGAGAGATACTGAGAAGGTACGTGTTGAGGGGCACCTCGCACGTCTGGAAGGCGAGCTGGAGGCGCAAAGCGCCCGTCTCCGAGCATACGAGCAACGACTTGATCGGTGCTCACAACGTTCTCGGGCTACTGATGAGTACACGCGCCAAAAGGTGGCCCAAATGCACGAATACATGACGAGCTGGACGAATCAGCTGATCGACCACACCAGCGACACCAATCTCCACCTTCGACCTGCAACCGACCTGCACAGGCCGACGGCAGCGTCCGCCGAAGCACCACAAGCTTCTGCAGGACAACAACGACGTACGTCACCAGGAGCAGCCTCCGCGGCAGCTTCTGCACAGACACGCCATGTGTCTCCCGTGCGCACAGAACCGACTACTGACGGTGTACCGATACCCTCGCAACCACTGTCTGCGGTTTCGGTCCATACTACAACTCCTATCAAGGAGTCAGACACCGTCCGAGTCCCTGTCTTGCCTAAGATCACGCAGCTGCTCGAGTGGCAGCAAAAGGTACGGGAGAACTTCTGGGGCCGCCTCAGGGCGACCATCCAAAGCATATGCCTTCCTATGCGTGGCTGAACAGCCCGAGTGTACATTCGAGGACTTACAAGACAGTGGAGACTTTGAGAGCATCGATTGCAAACTCGCTACCGCTCTGAGCGACATCTTATCCTCAGACTTGCGCTACCAAATCAGGCCCATCGAAACCAGGGGGCACAAGGCAGGACGCATGCTCAAAGGACGCCAGATATACTGGTACACCCTACAGTCTTACAAAGTGACAGAGGTTGATGACGACCTG